CCCGCGGAGGTATGAAATTTTTATAAACTCAAAACTCTACTTCAATGTTCGTGGCGAACCGGAAAACCGCTCCAAGCACGCCTTTGGTGCGCGTGGTGGGATGGGACCCCGGTGCGGCACCTACGGCGAGGCGGGGTCGCTCATAGGTACCCCCAAGCGGGGGGAAAGCAAAACTGTCATTTTTCATAAAAAATGCTTTTTAAAACCCCATGCACGCCTTTAGTGCGCGTGGTGGGAGAAAAACAAAAATACAACTGCCACGGTGTCTCACCAACACCAACCGTGCACGTCTTTAGTGACGTGGCGGGTAGGCGGCCTCTTGGTTTTTTTTCCCTTGACGGGGGAGACGTCGGGAGGTTGCCGAAATTTTGTCTGAAATACAGACAAGGACTTGGAGCAAATTGGACTTATGGACCTGATTCAAATGATCTAAATAAATATGAACTCAAGTCTAAAAAAAAAAGAAGAAGAATATGATTTTAGACATTTGAACTCAAGCAAAAGTGCTTGAGTTGGACCACAGGGGACATAGAACTTCGGCTTGCCACTTGAACTTGAACTCAAAAGACTTGAACAAAAAATGAAGTCGGACTTAATTGAACACACATGGACAGCAGGGGAGTTAGACTTGAATTTGCAACCAAGCTTGTGGACTTTTGAACCACAAAGAACTCAATTTGAAGTTGGACTTGGATCGAACTTGCACAATGAATTCGACTTGGAATAAGCAACAAATTAAATTGAACAATGAACTTGATTGAACACTTTTGACTCAAACTTGAACTTGTATTTTGAGTCTCATTTGATTCAAAATCAAGTAGAACTTGATTTGAATGATGATATCAAAGCTCCAATGGAATGATAAGGAGTTGTCACTTTAATTTAAGGGTAAAGTACTCTCAAATGTCATGCAAACAAGTGAAGATTCATGCACAAATTCATTTCAAACTTGACATGGAATTTTTGTATGATGATATTTGATTTACAACATCCATCTCAAATCATGCTTACAAATGAGCAGAGATGATCATAGTGGTGCAAGTATTGACAATGTATGATGAGCGCAATCCATCCAACATGTTAGCACACAAAGTGAATGAGCTAAATCTACATACAAACAACAGTAATAGTAGTACTTCATAGAGGATGAATCTTTTATGGACGATAGAGATTGGTGTACAAATGGATGTGATAGTTCTCCAATCGGAACTAGTGAAGGATGTGAGGTGTCACTTATGAATAAGTGATGTGGAAAACATGCTACAAACACATTTAAATGGTGTACAACAATTCCCTGTGAACAATTACTTATGATGATTGAGATTTTCATATCTCACCCACAAGCAACAATCAATAGAAATCATGAGAAAGGTGACAATGTGCTTACAGGCAATGGAAATTGAAAAGTATATATAGTTGATGGCAGGAAAGTATTGATAATGCAAGTTCACTATGCATCCTACAAGTTATTTCTAAGGAGGACGAATGATTTGTAATGTTCGTTATGACTTACACACAAGCAAGAGATGTGGCAAAGTGAGCAAAACACATAAGGAACATAATAAGTATGAATAAATGCAAGCAATGCAAGAAGATTTGCAATACATACATTCTCTTTACAAATACGGATGTACGTATAATATGTCACTTATGGGTAGATGCAGAAGGACTTCAGTAAATGCAATATCCTGAAGTCAATTTCAGCCTATAAATGAATACATCTACCTGTATATGAGCAACAATAACGAATGTACTGAAAAGGCCAATGAATGTAACCACCTATTGTACACCTAACATGTCATCCACAAGAAAGTTATAAAGGAGTTACAACAGATACAAACATACACAATTAAGGCAGGAGATTAGTTAGTGCACTATGATCCGCCTACAAAAATCAATAAATAGTGCACGACAGTCTACCTGTACAAAGTAGAAAACAACTCCCTTCAAAAGCTGCTACATCACGCCACCGGATCTGCAATCTCCGTACAAGCAGACAAAAGACGTCTACAAATATTTTAAAGTACCCCAACATGTGCACCGTAATTTGTATACACATAGGTACACAAAAGGGGTAAATGTAATCAAAAAACTGCAAGGGCCCCGACGAGCGTGTTATTGGTACACACGTGACGTCTAGGGATGCTGCGCGGGTTGCTAAATTTTAACCCGATCCTCCTAAACAGGTAAAAAGGAGTAGACTTGGTATAATTACAAAATGCCTCCAAACACATGCATGGGCCCCAGCGAGCGTGTTATTGGTACACACGTGACGTCTAGGGATGCTGCGCGGGTCAATAAGTGAATTCAAGTTCGAACCCGATCCTCTTATACAGATCAATATGAGTTGACAAGGTTCGAACCAACAAACAAATATGTGGCCGTGACGACCAGAATATTTGTTTTAATACATTCATATTAGGCATTCAAAGCCTAAAATCAAGAGAATTCACTCTCGAAGGCATAAAACCTACGAAACCCGATCCTCTGTCGACTGCCAGACAGAGTCGACAATGTTTAAGCTTTAAATTTAAATAACCCCTAACACCCCGATGATGGCCGCGTTGAACAAAAATCTCAACCAGAGGGGTCCATTCCAAATAATTTTCAATGCCGTTCCAAATATCCCAAAACCCAAAAACTCCACAAAAATCCTAAAATTTCAAAAATATTTAAAAATGAAACTATCAATCCCAACACTTAAAGCAAAGCCCATCCACCCACCGCAACAGTCTGCCGGGGTGGACAAATTCAAATAAACTCTAGCTCACAAAGAGCCAAATCCCTAGTCGAAAATATCACTAGGATCCATTCTCAAACAATCTCTTGCCAGTAAGGACGTGGTACGTGTCCTCTAACCGGCGGTTTTGCCGTCAAATGGCACCGCAGGATAAACGGTTATGACCCGGGGCCCTCTGAACCGAGTGGTTTTGCCGCCAAATGGCACCACGAAATACCGGTTATGGCCAGCGCCGTTACGTTCCTTATTGGCATCAAATCCTTGAGATATGAATCAATAGGATATGATCGATAGGGCACAAAGCCCTCTGTCAGCTAAGGTGGATTCAATTTTGTCCCCTTAGACAAATATTCATCCCCGGTCTATAAGGTCCCCTTGGACGAAGCAACCCATGGCTGTCGACAAGGATCCTTCTGTCAGGTTGGGTCGACTACCTCCTATGACTAAGTAGATCAGGGACTACGATGGCCCGGGACGACGAAACCATGAGATCTTGATCGGGTCCATCATCCATTACCCCACCATCCGCTTTAAGTGCAAGATGGTGTAATTTCTATTTAAATATCAAATCTTCCAACCTAAATACCCAAATTTAAACCCAATTTCCAAATCTGAATCTATGCTGCTACTATATGCCTAATACGTATTCTCTATACGTATCTGATCGACGACTAGCCTTAATCGAAAGTTCTCTCTCGTGATCGGGAGGGGTAATTAACTATAGGGGCTTGCGCCTATAGGAAACCAGAACTCAGATCATAAAGTCCTCACAAAATGAGGGTGAAATCTCTGGGTAGTGTCTTATCTACAAACCCATCTGCCTTCCAAAATTTACCCCGGAACTTAGTTCGTTAAAACTTCCCTCGCTCAAATAAAAGCAAAATGAAAAGCGGGCCGAGGCCGGGGCCGAATTTTCGGAGCCCACACTCTAAGAGTAAATCTACTCATCCACCTAAGCATCCTCATCTCAACAATACTTAACTTAATATTATGCTTCTCTTTTAATGGCCAACATTTTGCGCCATAAAACATTATAGGTCTCACACAACAAACCCGAAGCATTCCTCTACTTTAACCATCCAACTTGAATTCTACTAATAATATCCTCATCTATTTCACTATCACTCTGAACAATGTACCCAAGATATCTACAATGAATACACTTATTAAGGACTTGATCGCTCAAAGTTACAAACCCCAACTAGATCTACTACCACTAAAATTACACTCAATGTATTTAGTTTTAGATCTACTCAAATAAAAACCTTTAGACTCTAAGGTTGACCTCTATAATTCGAGTTTACCTTGAACTCCTTCTCTAGTCTTATTAATAAGAAGAATATCATCAGCAAAAAGCATACACCATGGTACATCCTCTTGCAAATGCAAATGTATATATGCAAGATTTTTATTTTTTGTCCTGTACCTTTTATAGCTTGTTCCTTTCGCATTAATTATCTCTCCGCTTATTGTGCATCCTTCGCCCTACATTGCTACCTTCCATTATTAATGTTCATAGTGGCTTTAACGTTAAGTTGAAATTTATTTTACTTGAATGAGCAAATTCGGGAAAACTATCTTTCAACTTCTCTAAAATGGAATTCTTATCTCGTGTATCAGATATAATATTCTTAACCTACTTAATCTCTTGCGACTTGTTTTCTTCTTGTGCTCTTCTTCCACATTAATTTTGTGTAGTAGCTTCTCTGAATGTTGTCATAGATTTGCACTGCATATTTGTTCTTTCCTATTCACCGAGATTTCTATTCTCTTTTCTCTTTTCAGGTCGGCCTGAATAATATCAAGGAGACTGATTTTGTTAATGTCACAATCCAGTCCCTAATGCGAGTTACACCTCTAAGGAATTTCTTTCTCATTCCTGAGAATTATCTGAACAGCAAGTCTCCTCTTGTTCATCGTTTTGGTGAATTGACACGGAAAATTTGGCATTCGAGGAACTTCAAAGGACAGGTAATTTTGTTAATATTTTTTTTATCAGGACATGCATTATATGTGCTAAAGAAATGTGAGTAGCATTCTTTATTCGCAGGTCAGCCCACATGAGTTTCTTCAAGCAGTCATGAAGGCTAGTAATAAGCGTTTCCAGATTGGTGTTCAATCTGATCCAGTTGAATTTATGTCTTGGTTATTGAATACATTGCACGCAAAGCTCAGGCATCCAAAGAACAAAAACAAAAGCATTATCCATGATTGTTTTCAGGTGCCAATTATGGACAACCTCGTGGTTTTATTCTTTTAAATCTTAGTTTTAAATTGCTTTAATTGATTTTTTTCCTCATGTCAGGGAGAGTTGGAGGTTGTGAAAGAGATCCACAAGAGACTAATAGAGATGAAAGAGAATGGGGATGGGGAGGGCAAAGATGGTGCTCCTGATGGAAATAATATTGCAAGTGAAACATCACGAGTGCCCTTCTTGATGCTTGGTCTTGATTTGCCTCCACCTCCTCTTTTTAAGGATGCAATGGAGAAGAATATCATACCACAAGTATGCATTTTTTTTTCTATTTTAATAAGTACAATAACTTTAAAGTTTGACAGTTACTTGAAACTAATTTTTTAACCGGCATTTTACTTGTGCCTATGCATGAGAGAATGGGCGAATTCCCCGATAAATATTACTTGAGTGCACTTCTGCTGTGGTTGTCATGTATAAACTGCGACCACACAATGAACGGGTAGCAAGCACTTAAGATTGCAGTTTTTTTTTTTTGAACCTGCAGTTGGAAATACCTTTTGTCATTCTTTCTGAATTGCTGCTCAACTTTCTGTCTGTCTTACTGTCATTGTGCAAGTAGTTTCCATGATATGAAGTCTTATTGTGATATTTGAAGCAAAGCGAGTTAGAATACTGAATAAAATGTTCATAAAATAAAAAGATTATAATTAATAGAACATGTATTGAGGATATAGTATATAATTTTAATGATTGTAAATTTAACAAATATAAGTTAATACTATTAAAATATAAAATGATACCTATTGAAGATAAGGTGACTGAAAATAAATTGAGATAATTTTGATACGTATAATGATTGGTAGTAATTGAATCAATTAGATGATTTAATAAAATTATCATTGAAGGATTTGGAAAATAAGTGTAGGCCTATGATTACATAAATAGATGTTCAAAATAATTTGTGAGTATATATTTAACAACTTAAACATCACTCAATAGGAACGAATAAAAAGTGAGGAGTTATAATGCTAGCTCAAAATAGTTGGGATAAGATAAATGATAATGATATATATATGTTATAGGTTCAAGTATCTTGGGTATATAGATGAGAATATACCTTATAGTTTGAAGTATTTAAAATGAAAAAAGGACCTTAAAGGTATTGTGTAATAAGGGAATATCATGGAGGTTTAAAGGTAAATTTTATGAATTGAAATTATGCTGGCTATATTATATGGATTTGAGCTTTTGGGCAATAAAGCAGTTGTTGATTGCCAAGTTAAGCATAATAGAAACGAGAATATTAAGATGTATTAGCATCAAAAGATTCAAAATCAATGAGGATTGATTATGAAATGATTATATTAGAAGGATAGTGGAAATATCATCTATCGAATATGGTAGTAGAACTTAAACTTCAATAGTTTGGACATTTAAAAAGGATGGAAAATGCACGCATTTGATGGGTTGATTAAAATTTGTGTTGACTGATTAAACCTGAGGTGATATAAGTAGAGTTTGTTCAAGAAGAGTTGCAAACAAGGTATTTAACATCCATGCAACACTTAGTAATCATTGAAGAATCCCCATACAACACTTAGCAAACCCCCATACAAGAAAAATATGTAAAAATAGAATGAATCATCAGGATGCTTACCAATTTTCAAAGTTAAACACCATTCTCGTATTTTTTTTAAGAAAAATACTTGCACAAGAAATATTGATAATAAGATTTTTCAAGCTTAACAATTAGGGTGATCATTGAAGTATTGCTTGTAGAGAAACTTCCTTTGCTGCCTCTAACAAGCTTTTGCTAAAGATTTACTCATATCATGGAGTGTTGACGTCTATTGCCCAATTTGTCTTGTGCATGATTATCTCTTGCACTTAAGAGGAGGCCATAGTCTTAATCATGGATGGCCCCAATTTGTTTTGTGACAATTGTGCCATTTGTGTATGGAGTGGGTTTACTTTGCATTACAAATGAATTTGAGTGCCCACATATGTTTTAATAGGAATATGCGCTTTAGCAGAAAGTTGCTTAATTAAAAGTTTAAAACTGATTTAAAACTTAAGAGGGTGGATTAGGCGTTTGAAGCACTTCAGAATATTCTTTGAAATCGTTTTAAACTTAAAATCTAAATTTTAAATACATGAAAATGAATACTTAAGCAATTAAACAATTTAAACAAACACACAACACAAAGTGTAAGTTACGTTTAAGATGGCTTATACAAATGTGAGTGATTTGACAATAAGTGATTTGAACTTGAGTTTCATTAATTAGAACAAGCACAAGTCAACCTCTTAATTGACAAAATAAATCAATAATGTTCTAAGGTGTATGTGTATGTGAATAAATAAGTGATGTGAAATATAGCTTGTAAGGCCAAAGTAAATTCTCTACTCAAACCAACAAACTATTGTTTACTATGATATAACAAACACCAAAATCACACACAAACCAAAACCGGACAAAAACTAATGTCCGCAAGATATTGTAAGTTGATAATGTACTGATAATGCTAAAAATATTGTAAGTTTAAGTGCAATTAGAGAAATCTATTGGACAGCTTAACAGGTGTTCATGCCAAACCTATAAACCATAAAACTAAACAAGTTAATATGGTAAGAAAATAATTTTAATTATAACATGTTGTCTTCCTTACTTTTTCTAGGTTGAATCAAACTCAATAGTTTGCAATGAATTATATTAGAAGTCTAAAACACTCACTAAGCTATATCATAACCCTGGAGTCTTGAATCTCCGTTGTAATCTTCAGGAATCGTACACTTGAGCTCGTTCTCAAGCAATCAAACTCCAAGCTAGTAGTGGAAGCATTTTCCATCTTAATGTTTGCTAAAAAATAATTAATTTGAAAATAAGATACTTAACAAATCATTAGAATATAACAATATTTTTGTAACACAAGTCATATAGGTTTTCACTTGCGTTATATCATAACCCTGGAGTTTTGAATCTCCACTTCAGTCTTCATGAATTGTATACTGAGCTCATCCTCAAGCAATCAATCTCCAAGCTAGTAGTGGAAGCATTGTTCATCATGTTTGTTAGAAAATAATCAATCAGAAAATAAAATACTTTGCAAATCATTAGATTACAAAATATAATTTGTAATCATTAATAAACACAGATCAAATAGATTTATGGGGTTGATAATGTAGTGTGAAACGACATCTTACTTGTACTTCAATGATCAAGCAATATGAGGGCGGGTCATGTTGTCAACTTGTCATATGCTTATGAGCATCTGAGAATGTAAAGGCAGCTCTTTGTTTATGCAAACATTTTTAAAGGAGAAGTGGCAACCAATTTCCGGTCGAGTAAAAATTCTAGTGATGCATATTAAACATTTTGATTTTCATTTGTATGAATTGCGAGGAGATTAATCCTCTTATAGATTGACTCATTCTATCAAAATTTCAACACCGTATAGAACCCACTAATAAGCCAAGTGTTTCGTTGACAAACTCATTATGGATCAAAATAATCTTAGTAGCAATGCCTTAAGTTTATAAAAAAAGATATAAGCAGTTTTTGATTGATTTTGTTATTTTATGTAAGTTTTTTCTTTGACCATATTTTCCAATTTAGAAAAATGGAATTTTGTGCTCCATGGAGATATTCAGGTACAATAGGGACTTGCTTTGTCCCAGCATCTATAACTATTGGATCCCAGTTGATGAGGACATCAGAGCATGAATCGTATGTCAGAGGCGTAGCCATCGATCTATGACCACGATCGATCGTTGTAGTTTTGGGTCATTTTCATGTATTTGTCTTTTATTATTTATTTTTTAATTATTTTCCCGTTTTACCCCTTACTTAAGGGAGGTTGTATGTAAGCCCTAAGGGCATTGTCGTCTTCTTATTTTGAGTCCTTTTTTAAGAGGCTATTTATAGCCCTCATGTTGCTCTTCCAAAGTTAATGAATGATTATTATGAAAAATTTCTTGCACTTGTGTGTTTGAGAGCGTTTGAGAGTTTTTGGAGAGAACTTTGGAGAAATCCCTAGGAAGGGAAAATCGGATCACCCACCAACTTTGGAAACAGCCGGGTTCGTGGTTCTACCTTCTCTATCTTCTTCTCCCCTCTTACCTCCCTCAACTAGCCGCCGGCCTAGAGCTCCTCCCCATTGGCTTAAGTTGCCAACCATTATACAACTCCTCCTCTCCCTTGGTTAAACCTAACTCCCCTTCCACCATCACCCGACCGCTTCTCCCCTCACCACCATCCACGGCCTCCACCTTGCCGCCGGCCCTCTTTGGCCCCTCCCTCTTTTCCCACTTGCTCTCAATTCTTTCCTAAATTAGGTTTCATAAATTTGATAACTCATATTTGAATAAATTCAAATCAAATTGAATTACAAATGGTTACTTAAATTATGGGTCTTATTGTAGGAAACCTATTAAATCAATTCTTATTTAAATTTTAAATTAAGAGAGGATGGGATATTTCTTTCCAATCTTGATTTATTAATTAAGCAAGCATTAGTTACCACATTAAATCCCTTCCTTCCTACATAAGCCGCCGGCCCCCTCATGGGATTAAAATTAAATTAGTTTCCTAATGCTACCTCATTTTCTTGGAAACAATTCAAGCCTTTCTCTGAGCCAATTCTCCAAGAGGTCACGTCAAAATCTGTCCACTTATTTCAGCCTCCTGAAGTGGAAATAATTCCAAAATCTGGCCACAATTCAGCCGCCTCCTCCTGAACTGTTTTGCTTGATCCTCAAAACTTAGCCGTCTCATAAGTCTCATGCACTCCAAGTTGCTGCCAGAATTTTCTGCACTTTCCCTTTGGTTTGCCTTCAACCTGAAAGCTTCCAAAGGCTGCATCAAGGAAGCAGTTTGCTGGCTACTAGATCCCACTAGCTCCCCATCACCATAGTATCCTCAACAAAGCTTGTCCTTGCCGTCCAACACTTCCCAACTCAAAGCAGCAAAACATCTATGGATGGCTGATTCAGAACAGACTACGACCTTCTCCTACTTGAATTCTTGAGGGAAACTTCTTTCTCGCAAAAGGATTTTTCAAGGCGAGCAAAGGATCATTACATTCCACACTTCGACGCTTGGGAGAGACTTCTTCTCCTCCAATTGAACCTTCACGAGAAGCTACGACAAACTTCTTCAACACCTCGCCTACTTGTTTCCGGATTTTGATAAAGGTGAACTTCTTCCTCTTTTTTTATTTACTTTTCTAATCCCCCAATCTTGTAGGTGATGGAGATTCACAAGGAACCGAGCTTCACCTTTGCCTAAGCTTAGTAAACGTAGGATTTTA